CCCTACATGCCCAGCAGTGAGGTTAGGCACCCCTTCTCCAGGGTCCCCTCATCTCTGTGCTGATGATTAAGACAGACTTCCTGTTCTCTCCCCAAGGTCCCCAGTGGATGGTGATTTCCAAAGGCAGAAAGGATCTTTATCCATCTTTGAATCCCTAGCACCTGCCTTCAGGCCTGACATAAATTGGGGGGCTCAATCAATATGTGCTCAATATTTGTTAAATATGCAACATATTCAACACTTCAAAGCTATAGCCTCTACTACATATTGACAATGCTAACCTTGGATATAGCATGGATTAATAGTTTTTTAAATTATTATAATTAAATTCCATGTGTTCAACAAAGTAGAGGAACACATAAGAATGCCAAGATAAGATTTGGAAGACATAAAAAAGACCCAAATCAAACTTCTAGAGATAAAAAATACAATGTCAAGTGGAAGGAGAGTGTGGGAGAAGAGCACAGGAAAGATAATTTGGGGGAGAAACCGGAGAGTTAAGATATTGTGGGACACAGGTATGGTTTATCACCTGTTGATGAGGATGTGTACAGTGTTCTCAGCTGGGCTGAGATGCCTATCATGCTGGGTAAAGTCTCTTTACAAGGTAAATGATGTGTAGCAACTGAATGTATAAATAATAATAATGATAATGAAAAAAAGATAAAAAAAATACAATGTCTGAGATATCAGATGGGATTAATACAGGCTTAGATGTTAGAAATATAAAAATTAATAAACTTAAAGACAGAGCAACAGACACTATCCACAATGAAGCACAGAAAGAAAAAAGACCGAGAAAATGAGGCACAGAGTATTCATGTCCTAATAGAGAAATGGTTACCAGGCATATTATGACCAATTTGCTTTAAGAGAGTGATCGAAGTTAAATCATAACAATAGCAGGGATTAACAAAGACACATTGTGCATGGAGATACGAAGATAATGTAGATTTCTTATCATAAATAAGCACAGCGAAGGACGGCAGAACTTCACAGCAGGACTTTTCGTAATCGCCAAAATGCGCCTATGACCTTCAATGGATGAATGGATAAAAAAAAAAAACTGTGGTATATACATGCAATGGGATATCAGCTATACAAATGAATGAAATAGTGGGACCAGCAGCTGGCATAATGGCTATGTCGCTGGACTCCCATGTAGTCGACTATGGTTCAAGTCCCGGACCCAGCGGCTTAAACTCACGCCAGGCGCGTGTGCGTGCGTGCCCAAGATCCTGAGAGGAGAATGGAGGAGAAGGGATTGCAGTGTGGCCATCCCCCCTGGGGGGTGATTTCTCGCTTTCTGTCTCTCTGTCTCTCTCTGTCGTCTGGCGAGCGCACGCATCCTATAGCAAAAACCTCTCCAAAAAAAAAAAAAAAAATCACGCCAGGCGCGTGTGCGTGCGTGCCCAAGATCCCAAGAGGAGAATGGAGGAGAAGGGATTGAGGCATGGCCAACCCCTCTGGGGGTGATTTCTTGCTTTCTGTCTCTCTGTCTCCTCTCTGTCTTTCTGGCAAGCACACGCACCATATAGCAAAAACCTCTCAAAAAAAAAAAAAAAAAGAATGAAATACTGATACTTGCTATAATGTGGATGAATCTCAAAAACATGAGTCTAAGTGAAAGAAGCCAGACCCCAAAGGTCACATACTATATGACTCCATTCATATGATTTATATTTATACAGAATAAGTAAGCCTGTGTATGAAATTCAGATTGGTGGTTGACAGGGCTAGAGAGAAAGGTGGGTGGGCAGCAGCAGCTTAATGGGTATAGGGTTTCCTTTCCAGGTGGTGAAAATGTTTTGGAACTAAGGAGAAGGTGTGGCTGCATGATACTGTGAGCCACGGAATTGTTCACTTTTTTTTTTTCCTCTTAGACTTTTGCTATAAGGTATGTGCATTTGCTAGAGACACACAGAGAGACAGAGAGAAAGAAAGTGAGAAATCACCCCCAGGAGGGATGGTCACACGGCAGTCTCTTCTCCATTCTCCTCTTGAAGTTCTGGGCATGTACACACACATGCCTGGTATGAGTTTAAAGCCACTGGGCTCAGGATTCAAACCGCGATGTGGGAGCCAAGTGCCCTAACCACCACGCCACCTGCTGGCACTGAATTATTCACTTTAAAATGTTCAATTTTATGTCCATGTCACCTCAATTAAAAAAGAAAAAAGACAGGGAGCAAATTCTTTGAAGTATTGAAAGAAAAAAAATATCAACCTATAAATCCACATCTAATGAGAATATTTTTAAAAAATAAAGGTAAGATCACAACTTTTTCAGCCCTTCAATAGCTGAAAGAGCTGTCACCAGTAGACCTGTTGTAAGAGTGCTAAAGGTGGTCCTTCCAGTAGAAGAAAGAGGATATCAGATGGAAATCCAGACCCACGCACCAGAAGAAGGGGCACCAAAAATGGTAAATATGTGAGCAAATACATACTTTTCTTCTACTTTAAAAGAAATATTTTATTTTATTTATCACTATTTTTTTTTGAGAGGTTTCGCTATAGGGCACATGCGCTCACCAGACAGACAGAGACAGAGAGACAGAAAGCTAGAAATCACCCCCCAGGGGGGATGGCCACGCCGCAATCCCTTCTCCTCCATTCTCCTCTCGGGATCTTGGGCACGCACGCACACGCACCCGGCATGAGTTTTAAGCCACCGGGTCCGGGATGCGAACCACGGTCGACTACATGGGAGTCCAGCGACATAGCCATTACGCTAACTGCTGGTTCCCTTTATCACTATTTTTTAAGTTTCCCCCATAGGGCACATGCATTCACCAGAGAGAGACAGAGAAAGAAAGTGAGAAATCACCCCTCGGAGGGAATGGCCATGCCACAGTCCCTTTTCCTTCATTCTCTTCCTGGGATTTCGGGCATCCCTGCACATGCAATCACTGTGATTTTTCAAGCCACCAGGTCCAGGACTCAAACCACAGTGGGCCATGTGGGAGTCCAGTGCTGTAACTACTATGCTACCTGCTGGTTCCTATTATCGTGGTCATTCTTAAACATTTTCCTATAGGGCACCTGTACTCACCAAAAAGAGACCGAGAGAGAGCAAAAGGGAAGTGAGAAAGCAAGCCGCCAGGTCTAGGACTTGAAATGTGGTTGGCCACACAGGAGCCCAGCACCTTAACCGGTTCCAAGCCACCTGTTGGGCCCCAAACATTTCTTCTTTGAAAAAAAAGTTTTAGAAAATAGTTGACTGCTTAAGAAAAATAATAACAATGCCCTGTGGAGTTTCTAACACATATGCAAGTAAAATGTAGGGTAACAGTAGCTCTGAAGCTGCAGAAGGGAAAAATGGAAGTATGAAGTATAAGATCGATATCTAGAGGGTAAATTACAGCACTAAATGCTTAAGTTAGAAAAAGAAGAAAGGTCATGAATCAATAACCTGGAATTCCACTGTAATGAACCAGAAAAAGAAGAGTAAATTAAACCCAAAGTAAGGAGAAGGAAGACTATAATAGAGAGAAGAGCAGAAATCAATGAACTAGAAACATGAAAACAGCAGAGAAACCTTGTTAAAGAGTAAAGCTATTCTTTGAGAACAATAAATCTGCTAACTCTCTTCCAGGCTGGTCAGGGAGAAGGGAGAAGAAAGAAATGGCTAACCTCTGGAGTGAGATTGGGTACACAGATCTAGAGTCTACAGACACTAAAAGGAGAGAAGAAATATGAACAACTGGATGCCTAGAATTTGACAACTTGGATACGATGGACAAATTCTGTGAAAGACGTAAATTACCCGAGCTTACCAAAGGGAAAAAACAAACAAACAAAAAATAGGTAAGCAGAGTTGTTCCATAGCTATTAAATAAATAGAATGCACTAAAAACCTTCCCAAAAGAAAAATACAGGCCCTGGGAACCAGCAGTTAGCGTAATGGCTATGTCACTGGACTCCCACGTAGTCGACCGCAGTTCACGTCCCAGACCCGGTGGCTTAAAACTCACGCCGGGCGTGTGTGTGTGCATGCCCAAGATCCCGAGAGGAGAATGGAGGAGAAGGGATTGTGGCGTGACCATCCCCCCTGGGGGGTGATTTCTCGCTTTCTGTCTCTATGTCTCTGTCTGTCTGGCGAGCGCATGCACCCTATAGTGAAAAACCTCTCCAAAAAAAAAGAAAAGAAAAGAAAAGAAAAATACAGGCCCTGATAGCGTCACTGTTTTATTTTTACTAATTTTTTAAAAAAAGGTTTATTGGTTTTTTCCCATTAGCAAGAGTATCAGAGAGTGACAGATACAGAGAAAC